ACCCGAGTGTAATGATACTTACCAGTACTATTGGACATAATCTTGCTAACAATTCAAACTAAAACACTTAACCGAGTGTAATGATACTTACCAGTACTATTTGGACATAATCTTGCTGACAATTCAAACCTAAAACACTTAACCGAGTGTAATGATACTTACCAGTACTATTTGGACATAATCTTGCTAACAATTCAAACCTAAAACACTTAACCGAGTGTAATGATGCTTACCAGTACTATTTGGACATAATCTTGCTAACAATTCAAACCTAAAACACTTAACCGAATGTAATGATACTTACCAGTACTATTTGGACATAATCTTGCTAACAATTCAAACCTAAAACACTTAACCGAGTGTAATGATACTTACCAGTACTATTTGGACATAATCTTGCTAACAATTCAAACCTAAAACACTTAACCGAGTGTAATGATACTTACCAGTACTATTTGGACATAATCTTGCTAACAATTCAAACCTAAAACACTTAACCAAGTGTAATGATACTTACCAGTACTATTTGGACATAATCTTGCTAACAATTCAAACCTAAAACACTTAACCGAGTGTAATGATACTTACCAGTACTATTTGGACATAATCTTGCTAACAATTCAAACCTAAAACACTTAACCGAGTGTAATGATACTTACCAGTACTATTTGGACATAATCTTGCTAACAATTCAAACCTAAAACACTTAACCGAGTGTAATGATACTTACCAGTACTATTTGGACATAATCTTGCTAACAATTCAAACCTAATGTCTCTTTCCACACTCATTGATCTTGCATGGATTTTAAAAATATGTGTACGACCCTGCAAAACAAAATAAAAAAATTGCAATATTAAGCTACAAGTATGCAATGTCCACAATAATAACATTGGATCATTGAACATTTGCAAAGAGGGCAATTTATTTTCACTTGCAAGTGATTTCTTTTTGTTGTAAACCATGTTTTCGATTTTAATCTGGCATTATTGACTGTTCATTGGTCACAGTACCCAGATGGTTTTTTTTTCAAAAATAAAAGCCTGCTAAAAAGTGGTAAATTGTAGAGAATTTGAACCCTGTTCAAGAAAACTCTACAGGTTAACAAAAATTTTTTAGTTAGAGTCTAAACGTTGCAGCAATCACACAAGAATAAGAATAAGATGAATACCTCCAAATCAGGAAGTCCAAACTCGACTTTTCTGTCTAGTCGTCCAGGCCTCATAAGTGCTGGATCCAATGTATCTGGTCTGTTTGTTGCCATTAATACTTTGATATTACCACGGGGATCAAAGCCATCTAATTGGTTAATTAATTCTAACATAGTACGCTGTACTTCATTGTCGCCGCCAGCGCCATCATCAAAACGAGCACCTGGTAATCAAAGAAATGGAAAGAAATTCTGAAAAATTTGCCAAAAAACAATGACATTGCCAATAGGTTTTGTTCACAATATAGAATCATAATAATGAACAGTTTATATTTTGCTTTATATCCATCCTAAATTGGTCAATGATGCTTTCTGTTTACTTGAAATGCTCCCTGAAACTTTGAGTCAAGAATATGCTGTATTGGCACATATTTGGCCACAAAAATCTTGTTAAAATGGACCTCTCCCTTTTAACAAAATTTTTGTGGCCAAATATAATCGACTTTTTTACTCTCGCATAGTGTTCCACTCTCCTGTTAATTAGTCACCTGTACTCCTTACCTATGTAACCTAGTGATATGAGTAGAGACTGGAGTGGCAACAAGATCTTACCAGCTATTTAAGTTCTGTGAAATACTTATTTTAAGCTGGATTTAATTTTCGTCTTATGAAACTTTTTGGGTGTTTTGTATGGCATTTATTTTCACTGATTTTTGATAAGTTGAATGTAAAATATAGAAAAATAGATATGTTCGTTGAATTTTATTTTCACTGAATCATAACTTAACGAAAATTAATTCTAAGCGAAAATAAATTATTTTACAGTAATAAGGTATATTGAAGATGTTGATTGGGATCTGAACGTATAACTTTAGATAGATGAATGAAGAGACTGTCATAGCACCCTCAATGTTAAATCTTTAATAATAATAAATTGTTATTTAAAAATAAAAGATTTCTGACATAATCAATCTGTTTGATTTTGCATTAACCTGTCCTATACACCTGGTTCTATGTGTGTAAACACTTTACTGTATCTTGCAAGAACCGTGTATTCAAGTTGCATTCTCACTTTGCAAATCTATGAAGCACCATCCCCTTATGAGATTATAAATAAATTTAAGTGGATCTCTTAAATTAGGTTACATTTGTAAATAATGCTTACAGTGTTAGAAGGCTCTGTTTATCCTTAAATGTCAGTTACATTGTAGGTATCTTTGTCTGAAGGATATGAGCCTCCAGTACTCGCAAAATAAAATCTGAGCAGGATATCAACTTTTAATATTTCATGTTTTTAGTTAGTTTAGGGAACAAAGTGTGAATGCAACTTATCCGCTGGAGTATTCATAGCTTATAAAATATCCATACTTGATCTGTGAGTCTTAACAAATATTGACTTATTTTAAACAATAATTTACAGTTATCAGTGTTTTGTTACTCACCTCCTATGGCATCAATTTCATCAAAAAAGATAAGGCAAGCTTTCTTACTCCTTGCCATTTCAAATAATTCCCGTACCATTCTAGCACCCTAAGATAGAACAGATAGAACCAACATGTCATCATATCATCTTTTTTAACCAGTTTTATTCACACTATCAGTAATATGGACCCATGTCATTACGGTATAGAACAAGAAAACATTTTTCAAGGAAGATAGTTGAAGTTTCTGTGTCCGGACATACAAGTGGATGAAATAAATTGAAACAAGTAATTGAATTATGATCTTCTATTTATATTCAACGTGTCCAAGCTCCTCACTATTAGTTTAACGTCTCTGGTTGAGGTTGGTTTGGCCCAACTTGTATTGATCTTTTGACGTGCGAGGCAAACCAGTCAACAACTTAGCTGGCAATGTTGCTGTTTTGGTGTTCAGAACAATAAGGCAGTGACAGTAATGCACTATTCAGAGGTCAACCAGACCTGGTGAACACCAAAGTCACATTCGTAAATGAATAATGGTGGTTTGGTCCTCCACATTGATTGTGTGGAACACTCCTCTTCTGATGTTCAAGGTTGGATTTAAGTACAGCGCAACTAACACTGGGCCACCAATGAACTGTCTGATTAAGCCATATTATCCATAAACTGGTACAATGTTACACAGCAATACTGACCTCTCCTACATACTTCTGTACTAGTTCAGATCCAATGACACGTATGAAGCAAGCATCAGTACGATTCGCCACGGCTCTAGCACATAGTGTTTTACCGGTACCAGGTGGTCCAAATAATAACACACCTTTAGGAGGTTCAATACCCAGGTTAACAAACCTCTCCGGCTACAAATAAAAGAAAATGCAGGTGAGACATACACAAGGAATTGTCAGTGTTACAAGTGATATTGCTACTTGACTTGGCCCAAAATTCTCAATAAAATTACCTGCAGTTATTAACCTCTTTTTTCGTGTAAACATTTTGCTGATTTTTCTATAGTTAACTTTTGGTCAAATGAACATAATTTCTCACTGTGTACAGGTCTCAATCAAATTTTAGACAAAATAGGTAAAAAAAAATATTTGTTTAGTTTGTGAATATTTGACTGCTCAAAGGATTGAAATAGACTAGTTCTACAACTTAAGATACATACATGTACAGTGCAAGAATTCACTACCATTTGGCAACAAAATATTTGTGGGAATGAGGGCTGTCGGCTTCATAATAATTTTTAACAACCTATAGTAAAACAACACAGTTATTGTACGTATGAGTTGGTCTGGAACTATTAGTCAACAAGCCATGCATGGCACAGTCCCAGTTAGTTATTAAATTTAAGATATATAGTTTTGTTTATAGTATATAGCTGGATATACCATATCA